AGTAAAAAATTATACCTGGTACATAAATTGCATACATTTTTCTTAACATACATGAATCTAATTCCCAAAATTCTATCAAATCATTTGAAATAGTAAAAAATTTTTTACTTATCTATATAAAAAAAAAAAAAAAAAAATAAATAAATAAATAAATTTATAAGCTAATTTACAAAATCATCAATTAATTTTTCATAAAGTTTTAATTTGTATGTTTATATAAATATTAAAATATATTATGCATATATATATTATGCATATATATATTATGAACATATATATTATGCATATATATATTATGCACATATATATTATGCATATATATATTATGAATATATAATATGTGTTTTTCTTTTTTTGAATGATACATCATTATTATAAACTTTTCCATTTATAGGGGATGGATGCTGAAAAAAATTTTTAAAAATAATAATCAATGATAAAATAGAAAAAAATAAAAAAAAATATTATAAGAATAAATATATGCATTTCAATTATTTTATATATATATATATATATTTTTTTTTTATATATAACATCATAAAATACAAAAGCCGTAGGTTGAAATGTATATGTATTTTTGACTTTTTGGCGAGTTTTTTTTAATAAATCATAAATTCTTAAGGATGATCCTTCTTGTTTTATCTTCAAAAAAAAAAAAAAAAAAAAATAATGTATTTTCTTTTAGATATAATTAAATATTTTAAGAAGAAAATGAAAAATTTTAATAATATATATTTATATATAATTTTTTAATGAATTTCTTTATTTAAATGACTAGTAGTTTGGAGACAAGGAGTTCTAAGAATTGCATTTCTCTCTTAGGCAAAATTGATATAATTGTCTCTACCTATTTATAAAATATAAAAAATCAAATTATAATTTTATATAAATAATTATTAATCACTAATATATTTTTTTACAAGTCTTTCTCCATTTTCTATATCAAATAACGATAAAGGAATTGTATTATTTATTGGTTGTTTAAACATTGCAACTAATCCATCTGAAACCCTATAAAAATATAAATTTTATATACAAATAAAATTTATTTTTATATTTTATTTCATTTTGTTCTTATATATTTCTTAATTCATTATATAACAACATTTTTGAATTATTTGAGTTGTTCTTTTTTCATAACCTAATTTCTTGAAATTCTTCTTCTATTTCAAATACTGGTTTATAAGTCATCATATCCCAAAATGTGTAAGAATTCGTATTTAAATTAGCTGCTCCTATTCTTCCATTAGTTTCTTAAAAAAAAAAAAAATTAAATATATAAAATAATATATATTTATATATATATATATATTATAAAAAAAAAAAAGTATTTTTTTTTTAAACCACAAAACTCAAAAAAAGCTGGATGACTTAATACAACTTTTTCTATAAAAAAAGGTTTACATATATATATATATTAATTTACTGTCTTATTTTTTAATCTTTTATTTAATTAAAAATAATTACCAAATAAGGATCCTAATTGGGATGAATTTGTTTTTCCTTTTTTTAGATCCTTTTAAAAAAAAAAAATCGTTAAAATAAATGAAGCATATAATTAATTATTTTGAAAAAAAAATATTTAAATAATTAAATAAATATAACTTATTTATAATAGTGTATATTCATATATTTTACATAAAACTATAGTATATACTAAGAATTTTATTTATATTTATTTTTAATTATTATTTATTAATATTTTTTTTTTTTTTTTTTTTTTTGTTACATTGCAATCAATAACTTTACATTGTAAATGAGCTGGAAAAGAAGCATAAGCAACTATCAAAGTATTATTATAAGAATTATAGACAATAGTATGAACAACCGAAAAATTAGTTGGATTAACTTCACATAAAAATATTCCAGTCCCTATATCATATGCTCTTGATATTCCTGAATTTAATAATACAATAATAACTTCATATGCTAATATTATTTCTTTAATTTTTGTTCTTTCATTATTTAATTGATTAAAAGGAAGATTTTCATATATATCAATTATTTTAATGGTTTTATAATTAGAACATATATTTTTCTGTATTAATTTCGTTTTATTTATTTTTGATGATAAACTTTTTGGTATATTGTTCCCATATTTTTTACGTTCTCTCATATATTGCAACATTTGAAAAAAAATAAAAAACAAAAATATTATAAAAATAAAAAAAAAAAAAAAAAAAAAAAAAAAAAAAAAACCTTAAAATTGGAAACTAATTTTTATTTTATGTATTTTATATTTTTCTTCTTAAAATTTAGTATATTTATATAGGTATATAAATTTAGAAGAAAAAATATATATATTATTAGAAATAAATTAAAAAGAACAAAAAAAAAATAATTTTAGAAATGTTTTACAATAATTAAAATAATTTAAAATATATATTAATAAATGACAAATTAAAAAGAGAATGTATTTATAAAGATACATGTTCTACATAATTAATAATAGACAAATTAAAAGAAAAACTAAATATAAATAAAAACACATTTATTTAATATAAATATTATTTAGACATAAGTAAAATAATAATAATTAGAATAGAAAAAAGTTCTATAATATCTTTAATAGTTATTTTGCAAATTTTGATATGTTCAATCAATTTAGTAATTGTAGAACTTTACATTTTTTCTTTTTTTTTTTTAATTTTAAGCAATTGTTCATATTGAAAGATTACTTAAATTTTCATACAAACTTTTTATATTCTATATTAACATGTAGATACTTAAATATTGACAAAATCATATATATTATTATAAATTTATATTTTTTTTTTCTTTTTTTTTTTTTTTATTTTTTTTTTATTTTTTTTTAAGTTTTATATATATGCATTTTCTTTCTTTTAAAAATATATTATTCATAATTTTCATTTTTTTCTAATATTTTCCTTTCATTTATTTTTTTTTTTAAACAACAATAAAAAAAAAAAAAAAACAAAGAGTAGAAGAATAAATATTTAATTGTATATGTGTATATACTTTAAAAAAAAAAAAAAAAAATGAAAAATACAACCAAATGAACTAATAAAAAGTAATATAATAACCAAAGTTATATTTAGACAGATTAAAATATCATTTTTTTTTTTTTCCTTTTATCTTATTATAATTTTAAAATAATTCTATTCCGTTAAAAAAAAAAAAAAAAAAGTAGTAACACATATATTGATAATATTGTAGACTCTTTTTTTTTTTTCTTTTTTTTTATAATAATTAAATTGAAAATGTTTCCGTATAATTTCATTCTTTTTTTTTTTTTTTGAGATACTTTGTTTATTTTTCTCATATTTTTAATTTATAATTCTCTTTCAACAAAAAATAAGATTTATAGAATACTATTTTATTAACTTTTTTCTTTTATTATTTAATTTGAGTATATACAACTAATTTATAGATAAAAAGAAAATATAAATGATATTAATATCTTTTATATAAATTATCCATAATATCCCAATTAATAAAAAGAGTTTTATTTTAAAATTTAAGTGAAAACATAGAACAATTAATATAGAAAAAGTAAAAAAGAAAGATAAAATATAAAAAAGGAAAGAAAAATGAAAAAAAAAAAAAAAAATATAGGAAACAATGAAAATGAAAAATATAAAAATGAAGAGAAAGGCAAATATAAAAAAAGCCATTAATGTTTTAATTTTCTCTAAAATTTTAAGTTAATTTTTATTTTATTTTTTTTTTTTTTTTTATATATAAAAAGCATTAGTAACATAAGAAAAAGTATCAAATTCCAGTAGATCATTTATATATTTTTTCTTTTAAAAAATAAAAAATAAAAATGAAAAATTAAGAAAACATATGAGAAAGTGAATTGGTTTGGAATGATGCTAATTAGAAAATTATCAAAAAAACAATATAAATAAAAATGAACAAAAAATTTTTTATAATAATAATTTCTATCAAGTATTTTCTTTTATGTAGTAAAGCAAAAATCAAGAAAAATAAATATATTTTTTATAGAAAAAACTTAAATAATTTATTTTTTTTAAAATCATCTGTAAGGGAATTTCTTTCTATAAATAAATTTCTCTTAAAAAGAAAAAGTATCTCAAAAATAAATGTGAAAAGAAAAAAAAATGATGAAAATGTTGGAAAAATTAAGAATTATGAAACATTTTTAATAGTTGATGGGTCATCTATTTTATATAAAAATTTTTTTGGTATGCCTATTTTAAAAAATGATAATGAAATAAACTTAAGTACAATATATGGGTTTATTCAATCACTTAATAAAATTTATAATTTATTTTCACCATCTTATGTTGTTATTGTATTTGATTCTAAGACGTCAAATGATAATAAAAAAAAAATATATTCAAAATATAAAATATATAGAAAAAAAAACCCAGAAGAAATTTATGAACAATTGAAAATTGTTAGTGACTTTTGTGATCTTATTGGTATAAAAACTATTAGTTCTACTAATGTAGAGAGTGATAATTATATTGCTAGTATCGTTGATAATATTTATAATACAATAAAGAATAAAACACTAAATATTTATAAAAATGATGATGAAGATAACAGAATAATAAATGAAAATAGCAATGATATTGAAAAAATTAAAGAGGAAGATGAGATAACAAAAGCTAACGAAGATAAAAAAAAAAACGATTATGAAAACGAATTACGTGTTGTTGTAGTTTCAAGTGATAAAGATTTATTGCAGCTTTTAGAATATAATTATAATAATAATTTAAATAATATGAAGATATATATATGCCAACCAAATAAAAAATATCGTTTAGTTGATTCTAATTTATTTTATGAAGAATATAATATAATGCCTCATCAGTATTGTGATTATCTAATTTTATCTGGTGATAAAACAGATGGAATATCAGGTGTTCCTAATATTGGAGATAAAACAAGTAAATATTTATTAAAAGAATTTTATAATATTGATAATATTTTAAAAAATTTGCATAAACTACCAAATAAATTACACAATATTTTACTTAATAATATAGAAAATATAAATATATTCAGAAAACTAATTAAATTAAAATGTGAAACTAATCAATCATTAGTATTAAATGATTACAAGCAAAAAAATATTAAAAATTTTGAAAAATTTCAAAACTTTGTAGATAAATATTCTCTACATAAATTACTAAGAAAAAGTATAATAATAAATTATAAGTAACATTTACAAAACATATTATTCCTATAATTTTTTTTTTTTTTTTTTTTTTTAATGTTGATATAATCAAATCTAAAATTTTTTTGTTAATAATATCTTTATACATTTTTAATTTTTGTATTTTATTCTTCATTATACTATACTATACGTATTTCATATTATTTAATATTATTTCATATCATTTTTTAATATAATATTCAGTTTTATTTTATCTTTTTTTTTTTTTTTTTTTCATTTCAAATTTATTCTGAAATTTTTTGTCTTTTAATATATATATATAAATATATAAAAGAAAATTTTTTTTTTTTTTTTCATTAAAATGAATACATAAAAATTTATAACTCTTTGAAATAAAAGTAAAAAAAATAAAAAAAAAATGAAAGTATAATTTTTTGGAAATTTTATTTAAATTTTTGTCATTCTCTTTGTTTTTATTTCCATTATATATATATATTTTAATAGTATATTTCTATAAATTTATTCTTATAGATTTATTAATATTTTTATATGTCTTATTATTTATGTGTTAATATTTATTGCTTGTTTTTTTTTTTTTTTTTTTTTTTTTTTTTAGTTCTTATCAAAATTACTCTATTTAATTTTATATTTTATTTTTTGAATATTATTAATATATATATATATATTTATGTATATATATATTTATAAAACAAAATTATAACAAAAAATATTAATACTGATATTAATGTTTTTATTATTATTAATAATAAAAGTGGCTATAATTGATAACATATGTTTGTCTATTTTAATATATATTATTTCAAATATAATTTTTAATATCTTTTTTATTTTATTTTTCATTTATATAAGATGTCTACAACAGATGAATTAAGTATTTTAATGCAAAATTTGCAAAAATGTAGTAACACAAATGAATGTATAAATTTTGATTTAACTAGTACATTACAAGGATTTTTAAATTATTTAGATAAAAATATTTTCGAAAATGTAGAAAAGAAAATAAATGAAAATGAAAATGAAAAAGATTTTATGAACAGTTTTACGTCTGCTGCAATTTTTGTTGAGAATTGTGTTAAAATTTTTAGTCAAAAAATTGAGTATTTACATAATTTAGCACATAATACTTTATATAATATTTATAAAGAAAATAAAAATAGTAATGCCTCAAAGAAACACTTAATAACCTCCTATGAAGAAGAATATCTATTTATTAATGAGATAAAAAACTTAAAAAATACAAGTGAAAATGAAATTATAGAAGATGAATTATTAGTTAAAACAATTCCATTACCTACTTTTTTATTTACTGAAAATATAAAAAAAAAAGAAAATAATGTTGATAACATTAATAAATTAAATGATGAAAATAATACAGAAAATATAAATGAATCAAAAAATGAAATGGAACAAATTAATGAATTTGAGGTAATTGAAAAAAACTCTTTAAATTCTCTAAATTTTGATAAAATGTTTCTCGAAAATGATGGAATATTACTGTTAGATATAAATGATTATAATATTTTCATAAATGATCAATATGATTTTTCAATTCAAAATAAAAATAGTTCTATTTTATTTGAAAAATATGATTTTTTTTCTAGACATTCTACATATCTATCAAATAATTTAAGTAAATTTATTGAAGAAAAAAAAAATGTGGAAGATATATATAAAATTAATCATATTAGCGATTTTTTATCAGAAAAAGTATGTTTTGATATATTTTTATTTAAGCAAGATTTTTTTGATTATGATTTTTCACTTGGTATTTTAAAAAATAAAAAAAATATTTTAAATAAATATCATGAACAAAAAAAATGTTTTTATTTATTAGAAGAAAATACTCATATGGATGGAAATAAATCATTATCAATAGAAACTGACATAAAAAAGTTACCCAATTATTATATTCTAAATTATCAAAACGTAAAAAATTGTGATGATTTCTTTAGATATATGCAACCTAACGAAATCCTAGATATTATGAAAAAAAATATTAAACAAGATGAAAATGAAGTAGAAAAAGAAACATTTATTGTAAAATATTCAAATGATCAGAAAATATTTCATCAAATGAAGATTCCTGAATTATATATTCAAAAATTAGGTTTAAATTTTTCTTTTTATTATTTAGAACCATTAATCTATAATTTAATAAAAGATTTAAAAAGAAAAAAAAGTGTTGAGAAATTTTTTTCTTTAGATTTCTATGATGACAAACCAAATTACGATTTTGATATTTTAGTAGATGATGAATTTAATGATGGAAAGAATCAAGAAAATAAACTAATTGAAGAAAAATTAACTTTAGATAATTTCATGGATGTGAAATCATTTAACGATGATATTAATAATCTTCCTTTAGAAGTGTTTGAAAAAAAAAATTCAGATGAATTTTTTGTTTCTTTTCAAGATGAAATTCATGAAAGGTAATATATCATATATTGTATTTTATGTATTTTATTTTTATATTTTTTATAATGTATATTATTTATATTTCTATATATATTTTAATTAATTTTAATATTTTTTAATTAATTTTTTTTTTTTAGAGTTAATAGATGGAATTTGTTTCTTGAAGAAAAATTAGAAATTTTAAGAAAACAACCAAAATATGATGTAGATGATTATAAAAAGAATATCATTAATTATACTATAAATAGTGGAAATAAAATATATTTTTCAAATCTTCTCAAAGATAAAGAGCAATATCAAACATGTAGAAACTTTTTAACAATACTAATGCTAATAAATGCAGATATTTTAGATATAAAAGAAGTAAATAATAAGAGCAATTCAAATGATGTCAGTAATTATGAAATATATATAAAAAAAGAAAATATACAAGAATACTTAAGTACCTCTAAGAGATTCAAAAATACTAGTTTTATTATAAAAGATAAAAAAAGAAAAACAAAATTGTCTAATAATATAAAAGATATATTACCTTTAAAAAAAAAACCTCATAAAATTTGATTCACTTAAAAAAAAAAAAAAAATAAAATAATAATAATCTAGTATTTTTTTTTTACTATACTATTTCTAAATCTGTAACTAAAATTTTTTTTTAAACTATGAAACAATAACAGTATTGTTAAATATATTTTAATTTATTATATATATATATATATATATATATATATATATATTTTTTAAGTTAATAATTTATTAATCAAATAACAGTGCAAAAAAAAAGAAAAAAAAAAAAAAATTAAAGAATTAAATTCATAATGATGAAATAAAATAGAAAAATAATAAACATGAAATGAGAATGTCTATTACAAATTGATGAAAAAAAAAACATCACAATTATATACATAAAAAAAAAAAAAAAAAAAATTAAATAAAGACCTATATATATATATATATAGGAATATATATAACTATGATTTTTGTTTAAGTCAATTACAAAAAAAAAAAAAAAAAAAAAAAAAAAAAATTTAAATTATATAAACAAAAAAATAACTAATTAAATACACATAAATATATAAATTATTTTATTTTAAAAAAAGAAGAAATTAAATTATACAAAACCTTCAAAAAGTCAAAATATCTAATTTGCGAATAAATATAATTATCTTTTATCAAATAATCAAAATTAAAACATTTTTGATCAAATTCTGTTTTAAATAAATAATAATTTTGCAAAGGACATTTGTTAAAATCTATAAATGTATTTAGCGGAAATTGATATTTTTTTTTTCTATTAAAAATATTGATATCATAAAATATTTTTTTAAAAAAAATTTTTAAAATACCTAAAAAACCAATAACATTACAAGCATTATGATTATCAATAGCTAATTTAAAATAAATCTCTAAAATATTTTTCAAATTATCTAAATTGTTGTGTTCTAAAAAAAGAGCTTTATAATATAGAGATTCATGATTTTCTGCATCAGAATCACTTATCATATATTGTAATTCTTTTCGTTTACTTTTTACAGTAAATTCATCACCTTCGTGATATTTTTTGATCAAATCAATAGTCGCTTTCTTATAACCATAATAAGACGAATATATGTCATAATACTGTTTGCATACATCACAATTATTAGAGAAACTTTGAATTTCTTCAAATATATTTGATGTATATTTCTTTTTATAATAAAATATTTCCTGTATATCATGATTTTCTAGTAAACTTGAATATCTAGAAAATTCAGATTCATATAAATTTTTTCTTTCCTCTTCACCTTTTTCTCCAATGTATCTATTATTATATTGTTGTTTCATTTGTTTTTCTTCTTCTAATTTAATTTGATAGTAAGATATTGGCTTATAATAGCAGTGCAGAAATTCTGTAATTCTAAAATGTTCCAATATTGTATATTTCATTTTTTTTAATCTTTTAATTTTCTCTTCAATGTTTTTTTCTTTTTTCATTTCATTTATTATAATTTTATCATATTTTTCATATAAATCTATTTGTTTGAAATATTTAGATAAGTAGTATGTATCGTAATAATTGACTTCTTTTTCTTCAACATTTCTATAGCTACTATTTTTTTTTCCATTATTTTTACCATGTACTGTTTCATTTAAATTATGTTTGTCATTATTATTCTCATTATGTTTATAGTTATTAGTACTTCTTTTAATTCGTAACAATTCACTCTTCAAATAATGACAAAACTTTACATGAGTAAAATATTTTTTTTTATTAAATACACTTATCATCATGCAATTTTTTAGTAATGATCTTGAATGTTTTCTTCCTTTATTCTTATATGAATATCTAACACTTTTTTCTTTATTATATATTCTTTTTATTATTTTATTAATATCATTGGAACTATATATATAATCATTATTCACCTTTTCATTATTATTATTACTATTTGTATTTTCTTTATTTAGGGATATATTGAAATTTTTTAATATATTTTCAATAATGTTATATTTTTCCGTAAATTTTTTCATAGTTTTTTTTTTTAGATTCCATAATAATGAAGCATTAACATTACTTGGATGATCTCCTAACTCTGACAACATAATAGATAGTAGTAAAGAACCTGTATAATCTTTAAATTCATAATTTCTTTTTAACATTTTTGTTAAAACATATAAACGTTCATTGAATAAGCTAATGAAATGAAAATATTTCAATGTTTTTGAGCATTTTTCATTGAATGATTTAAATTTGGGATTTATACCTTTTAGAATTAGAATGCTTTTATTATATAAAGATATTAAATTTCCATTTTTTGCTGATAGTGCATAATATTTATATGATTTTTTTAAATTTTCTATTTTATCTTCATTATAATCATTTAATTTAATTCCTATATCTGTTCCAGAGTAATAATGACCTAATAACATTTGAGCAATATTATCTCCTTTTTCTGCAGCTTTCTTTAAATAATATCCTGCTAATTCTATATTCGGTTTTCTACCTAAACCAAATTTATAAATATTATATTTAGCCAATGCGCTTTCTAAACTTCCATCATTATTTCTTATAGCTTTATTAAAATAATTCTCAGCATTTTTAAAGGCTTTGTTAGCCTTATTATTTAAATTAAGAATATAATTTTTTATAATTTCATCATTTTCATCATTTCCTTTTTCTTTCAAGTTTTCTACATTATTATTTTCATCATTAGTTTCATCATTATTTTCAGTATTTTTATTAACCTTATTAATTCTTTTAATATCTACATCATTATTATTAATATTGATATTGCTTTCAACTGTTCTATTCATATCTATATTGCTACTATTTATATCATTCGTGTTTATATTATTTGAATTAGTTTGATAGGTATTATTAGAGAAATCAGAAAAATTAGATGTTCCGTTCATAAAAAAATCATAATTACTAGAATTATTTTGAATTTGTGTTTGATCTGGTGAAACATTATTATTTGATGTATTATTTAATGAATTATTAGTTTCATTAGTAGTTGTTTTAGAAATTACTTCCTTATTTTCAGTTGATAAAAAAGAGTAATAATCATTAGAATTCTCCTTTTTATTATTATTACTATCATTATTATTGTTTTTTTTTTCATTTTTATTTATTTTTTTTTTTTTTTTTTTGTCAGATTCTTGATACATATCGAATTCTGTACTATTTTTTTCGTTATTTGAGTTTTCTGATTTTATCAAATTAATTAATTCTTCCTTATTCATGTTTTTAATAGTTTCTTCTTTTTTTGAAAACTTTTTATATTCATCTAAATATGCATATCCTGTTGATAACGCAGATATACTATCCCCTTGATCAGCTGCTTTTTTCCAAAACTCAAAAGCTTTTTGCTCATCTCTTTCTATGCCTATATTTTCATTCCCCAAAAAATATATTTCTCCTAGAGCTGCTAATGCATAAGAATTTCTACTATCTGCTAATTTCAAAAAATATTCATATAAATTTTTATTGTTATCTGAACTGTTACGGATTAAATTTTTATGATTTTCATTTATATATTCTTCATATATTCCACTTTCAATAGTAGATGTAGCTTTTAGAGAATCAACAACTACTCCTAAAATGTTACTTAATAAATAGTCACACGATGTTAAAAAGGGTGATACGTTATTTTTAATGAAGGAATTTTTATAATCTTTTTTATCATATGTAAAATCAAAATAATCCTTTAAATAAAAATTATTCATTTCATTTTTATATTTTAATCTAATAATATTATTTGTAAACGCCAATTTACTATAAAAATCATCTTTAGTTGAACCCAATGAATATGATACAATTTTGGATTTAATGTGATCAACTTTATTTGGTATTATTCTATTTTTATCTGATAAAAAATCATGATTTCGTAACACTGATTTATTTTTATAATAAATATAAAAAAAACTATTAATTGAATTTTCATTAACATCTAATACTTCATCATTAACTTCTGTTGTAATAGATATGGAAGAATTATTTACAAAAATTGGTAAATTGACATGATATAAAATACCACTCAAAAAATTACATAATCCATCTTTTCCTTTTCTTATTAAGTTAACTGATTTATCTATATTTCTAGGAAATCCATATGGAAACTGTAGATTTCCATTATGATCATTTACACCTATTAAATAAAGAAAAGCTAATACACAATTAGATTCATTTTTTAATTTATCAGTATATTTTGTTCTTAATAATTTTAATTGATCATGAATTTTGTCTTTCATTAATAGAGGAGCAGGAGTAAATGCACTCAAATTTATATTATTATAATAATCATAGTAATGTATATCATTTTGATTATTTATATTCTTGTAATTATTATAATAATTATTTTCATTATCATTTTTATTATTTATATTTACTCTATCTATAATGTTATTTGCTTCCATTTCATTACTGTCACCATCATTTTTATTTTTAACAAACGTATCATTGAATTTATTTTTGTTAATTTCAAAATTATTTTTTTTTTCAAACTTTTCATTTATATCCATTAAATTTTTTATATTGCTCTTTATTTCTTTTTTTTCATTTGAATAATTTTTTAATAATGGAAATTCCTTAAAAAATATACCACTTCTACATTGTAAGTGGTTATCATAAAAATTGTTTCTTTCATTATAATTATTAATAGTTACTAAATATTCATAGATATCCTTAAAATTTATTTTTTTTTTAATATGTACTTGGTTTAAATAACTAAAAATATCTTTGATTGGATGAAAAAATAAGGGAATACGTTTATCAGTAGTATTATTAATTATATAACCATCTTTCAATTCATATTTATTCTTATAATTATTTAGCTCATCTAAATTTTCTGAAGATAAATTAAAAAATTTATGAATATTTTTTAATATGTATTTATTATATTTTTTATAGTCTTCATTATTTGCTAATTTATTGTAAGAATCTATTAATGTATTCCATACTTCATTATCATCATCTTTTGTATCCATAACTTCTGCTTCATATATATTACTGTTTTCTTCGTTTTCTAACATTGTACTATTTTTTTTTTTTTTTTTTAAATTTTCTACATTATCATGTTTCATATCATCATCATAACTATGATCATATATTTTATTTTGGTAATTATTCATTTTATCAATATTAACTTCATTATTTACTTTTTTCTCATTTATATCATTATTACGATTGTCAAAATAACTTTGTTCTTTATTTTTAACATTATTCTTAATAACATCATCATAATATTCTCCTAAATTATTTTTATTATGAATGTTGTTATTTATTTCATTTAAATCTGAATCATTCAAATTTATATTTGTTTCTTTATTCTCCTCGTAATTATTTGATATTTTTGTATTAATATTCACAGAATTTTCATTTATATTATCACTTATTATCATTTCATTTTCAGTATTCTTTAACTTATTGTTTTCTTCATTTTTAAATTTACTTTTTTCCCTTATGTGTCTTAAATTATCAAAATAATATTCATTGTATAAATTATTTAAAATATCAATTATAAACTCTTTAAAAGTTGAGAAAATCAACTTAATTTCCATATTTAAATAACTTTTTACATTAGAATCATTCTGAAATTTATATAAAATCAAATTATTATTTAAATCTTTTAATTTTTTAAATAAATGATTACCTGTAGTTACTTTATTATCCCATATATCTTTATCTACTAAATATTTATATTTCTCAAAAAATTGATGATTATAATGTAAAAAGTATGAATAGATAAAATCATTGAAACTTTGACAAACGTAAAAGTGAGAAGGATAATTTCTTATAGTATTATTAATTTTAAAATTATACTTGTTATAATTATCCAGTATATTAATAAAAGAAATTTTATTAAAATTAACATAAAATAAAAAATTTTCTGAATTCAATAAATTTAGAACTAGTTTATATGTGTATTTGTAAGAATATATTTTATGATCATCAATGTAAAATACATAATTCGTCTTATCAAAACACGTTTCAATCAATTTAAAACTATTATACCACCTAAATAATGATAAAATAAAATGTCTTTTAAAAATATTCTCATTAATATCATATTTAAATAAATTTTTTTTTTCCATATATGAATGTATAAGAACACTACTACTGTTTATAATTTTTATTAAATCTTTTAATGAATCATAAATATCACTGTTTAATTTTGTTTTTAATGAATATTCTTCTAATATATTAAAATAATCATAATTTTTCTTACTCATACTTCTTAATATTAGTTCATCAATAATTCTATCATACTTTTCAATTTCTTCTTCATATAATAGAAGGAAATTTTCTTCTTTGTTGGTATTTTTTCTTCTCTTTTTTATATCTATTTTATTTTCATTATCGTACTTTGTTTTTATACTTACATCCTTTTTATTTGTTTTTTTTATATTTAATTCACTTTCATTTATTTTTTCATTATTATTTTCTTCATTAATATCACCAATTTTTATTTCTTTTTCTTTCTTCCCTCTTTCACTTTTATTATTAGTAGCTGTAAAGTTTAGTTCTTTTTTATTATGGTTGTTTAAATTTCTTTTATGATGTTCAACAGTTTCCTCTTCAAATTTTATTTCCTCTTTTTCATTTGTTATATATTCACATTTAATTATTAGCAGAAAAAATGAAAATATAAAAATTAAATAAAAGACATTTTTAATCATATTTGCTGATAAAAAGACACCTTTTCTATCTTTCTACTTTTTATTTTTTCCCTTTTTTTTTTTTTTTTTTTTTTTGTTTTTTAAAAATCAAGGAACTTAAATTTGCAAATTAAGAATATATACGTATAAATATATTAAATAAAATCACTACTTAATTTTTTTCTTAATTTTTATATAGAAAAAAATTATAATTTAGTGCATTACACTTTGGATAAATGTTAAATAAATAAGAATCAATTTAAAATAAAATATAATATCAAATCAAAAAAAAAAAAAAAAAAAAAAAAAAAAAAAAAAAA